TCTAGGTGTCTCACCTGAGGCAAGTTTCAAGCAACGGTTATTAATATCGATCTAAAAATTTGTTTGGTCACTGCCAAAGATCTGAAAAGATCGGAAGGTTCGGTTTATAAGTAAAAAAAAGAATTTATCTTTACTGAGATTTTTGGATCTTCCTTTTGTTGTATCATTGAAAAATGAATATCTTTTATATATTCGATTTTACCATTCTTTAAAATATCAAAAAGATCGACGACATTGGGAAAAGTTTCTTTATACCTATTCTTTATATCCTCCTTTTGAATAATTTATACTTGAGTCGATTCAATATGTTCAAAATCTTAAAGGGATTAGAAATACCTAAAATATACGTTCGCAATTTTATGTACATCATATACTTAAAACACTGTATTTTATATACCATTTTCATTCTAAAAATTAATGTGTTAGGTTTATATTAATAATTGATAGAGGAAAAGTTATAGTGATTAGCAATTTTAGAATTTCCATTTTAAATTGTTTCTTGATGCGAAACTGATACTTGTAGAACTCATTCTTTTTGCAAAGATTAGAATTCTTGCAAGATTCTAGGCTACAAGCATACATAATTATATTGGAAAAATAAAATATATCCTGCTTACACACACGAAACAAAATAAATTGAAATAACAAAAATCATAGTTGTTGGCATTCTTGTTGATTAGCATACTTGCCATAGTGATTAGCACTTATTAAAAATATATTAAATAAAAAAATAATCTAAAGCTAATTAATGATTCAGACTCAATGTTTAATACATTCCAAGATCCTCTGCTAAATAATTTATTAGATAAATGCACTGTTCACACACATCAGTATATTGGCAGCTTCTGATTGCAACCTAATGAGTTAATCACCGCGACTTTATCAACTGCTTTTCTTACTTTATTATCAACAACTGCATAATTGATAACAGTCTTATTATATCACATTTAGTCTGTTTTATCTTTAAATGTGCCGATATGCTAATCATTGTAATCCCTGCCAGTCACTGTACCTCTTCCTCTACTTAAAATAAGATTTAAGACTCAGATTTGAATCCATAGTTAGATGAGAGATTTCCAGTTGAATTGTTGTTACAGATACAAATGTCACACATGTCACAATTCAACGAAAAGGTTCAACACACGAAGAAGTTTCAAGTGACACTTATTAATGCGGGCTTTAATGCGCCATTATATAATAGCAATGCGTACGGTCAAAGGGTACGAAAGTTGGCACGCAACGACTTTCACTGCAGCCCTTTCACGACGAGAAGTCGCGACCCGAACAGGATCGCGATTCAAGCGCTTATCGACGGTATTTTAATAAGCGTTACGTTTAGAGGTCTCCCCCGTTTAGAGTGTCTTTGGTATGTGACGAGGCGATTGGCTAGCCGTAATTAACAACCGCAGATATAGCTACCTGCATCGGCGACAGGCGAGGCTCTTTATATGTGTAGGACTCTCGGTTCTCAAAGATAGTTAAAGATAGTTATGTTTCATTCATAAGAGGGGATCCTCGGCCGCGTGCACGAATGCCCGCGGAAAACGAGCGTATAATCATCGCGGGCTTTCGTTGTTTCACCCGGTCTTACTGGCTTCGTGATGATTTTTCATGCGTCGCGCCGTCCATTCGATACAAGGTCGGCCGAACTATGCCGTCTGAATAGGTCTGGTACGGATACTTTCGTTGGCAATTGCGCAACCGCATCGCTAATTATCAGCGGTCGCGTGAGCGCGGATGCTTCGTTAACGTATCGAAAGTGATGCTTTCGTTTTTGTGTGCACACTCATCTTTCTCATGTGGCCAACACACGCAATACAAGTTTTTCGCGTTTCTTAACCAGTCTTTGTCGAGACAGCCGGTTCCGTTAGTCATAGTCGTGTTTGTCATGCTTTTCCCACCAGGTCCCTTTTCCAAAGGATTTCCCCAATTTCTTGATGCCAATTTCTTTGTGACCGACATTTTGAACCCACCGATTCACAAGAATTTTTCCTTTGTTTCTTCAAGTACCTGAATCATGTCAACAAAGGATTTGTCTTTTAAAAAAATGACGAATCTATGGGAATCTCGGTTTATATTGTTTGCCATGCTTTCTCACTAGATCCCTTTCTCAGAGGATTTCCCAAATCTGGTTGCCGTACTGTGCCATTTCTGATGGATATATCTTAACTCACCGAGAACTCACAAGAATCCTTCCTTTGTTTTTCTAAGAGCCCGAATCGTGTCAACATTTTAATCATCTTTTAAAAAGGTGACAAATCTATGGGACAAATCTCGGTTTACATTGTTTGCCTTATTTGAGATCTTATTATAATTTTTTTTTATAACTGAGTGCCGCAGCGTTGTGTTCTGCCACACGCTATTACTTTCTCGACATTTCAGATATACGATACCTTCCAACGTTCTGCGAATTCCCGTTCCTAAGTTGCTACACATTTCACACTGAAGAATGTCAAAATTGAGATTCGTAAAATATACTCCTGCAGTTCGACTTATGATACCTCTTGACACTATTACTTCTCACATTATTACTTTTTTCGTCTTACTTATTAAGTTGTAAAACCCTTATTGTATAAACTTAAGACATACTTTATTAATCAAAATAGTTTCCATTCGCTTCAATACACTTCTTCCAACGTGATACAGACACATTAATGCCTTTCTCCGAGAAACCGGGAGAACGAGAAATAAAATGATTGAATGGCTCTTTTATGTCGACTTCATTTTTGAAAATTTTCTTCCTTCAAAAATCCGCCGCTTAAATAAATGGTAATATATTGGTAAAGGGTCAGGAGAGTAAGGGAAATGAGGAAAAATTTCACAGCAAAGAAAAACTGATCTTTAAACGCCGAATCATATTATGAGTTCATATGAGTCCCAGTTTTTTATCTTCCCTCAGACTTTTAAATGTCGGGAAATTGTTGAATAATGAATTTTGATTGTCCCGGAGATTTTTCAAACTGCTAGACGCTCTGCTTCGACTGTTTTCGACGGGATAGATGAAATCTCCCCTAGTGCTGATCCTTATAATATATCTTATTGTCATACTCCTCTCCTTCTATCCTTCTCCATTCTTTCTGCGTTCTGCCTCAACGGAATTGCCTTTCTCATTACCATCTCTTTGTAGCCTCGATAGACTTTCAAATTTTCAAGATCAGACACATTTTCAAGATCTGTATCATCAGATCTCAACTTCTTAAATCAACGCCTAATGCTTCGATAACTCGCAATATCATCACCAAATGTCATATTAATGTTTCGAATTAACTCAGCCGCACTGTGACCGAGCTTCAACTCGTATAAGTAAATCACGCGAATTCCCTTATTTTCCATCTCGAATTAAATCCATGTGAACAAAGCCATGTATACTATACGTTATAAGTGAGGCAATGCACACACATTAACAATATATTAGGAAATATACGCTTTTCAAATGACACATATACAGCATTACTTACGTAGCAAAAAATTGAACTACAAAAGAGAGAAGTTCATATTTCTAAAAACGACTATTTCACTTGCGACAACCTAATATTACAACTGCACAAATTTGCCCACGTCTCAGACTCTTGTTAACCCTCGCTTGCCTCTCCCAATGAACGCTCGCAATATAATCCTTTTGTGACATACGCCTCGAGAATTCGGAGATTCATTTAAGTTACCATCTGCTCCGATTTAAGCGATAGCGCAGCGCACCATCGCGCCGACAGCGCGCTTGTCCACGCCGTTCGCCACGGCGTGGAAGAAGCAACCTACGGACGCGCCGCGGAAAAGGTCAAGGCACTAGCCTTGATATCGACCTGGTGTCAAGGCCATCACCGCGGTGCAGCGTCTCGCGCAGACAACGCAGACGTGAATTATTAAAAAGAAAAAGAAGAAGAAGAAAAAGCGACGTGACTCGCGAGAGGCTCTCTCGACAACTCGTGGAACGAAGTAACGATCGTCGTCGATTACGAGCGCGAATGCAGCCGTCCTGTTCGAGCGTGCGATCGCCTTTTTAATCAAAGAAAGCTGCGCCGAAGATACCATACACGAAACAATGGATCTAACCGGAAAATCGGTTCAACGCACTGCCGGCTGTGCGCGAGAGGGAGAGAGAGAGAGAGAGATTCCTTGAGAATGTCGAGGTTCGCCATTAATGGCGGCTCGCGTCCGATATACCGCGTACACCTTACACACCAAGACGCGCGCCTCGTGCGACGCTCTTTTCCCCTTCTTCGAGGCGCACTCGAATACCCTCGTGTCGGTGGTTTTCGGGATCGTGTCAGGATATGTCGCGGGGAATACGTACACCAGAGATCCGCTGAAGATCGCTACCTCTGAGAACTTGCTCGAGCAAGAGAAAAATTCGTTACAACTCACGACGGCGTTGCCTTCCCGCGGCAGGGAGAGCGATTGAATTCGTTATACGGCGCGTGGAAGTGAGCTTCCGGCTATTTTCGGAGCGGGCGCACCGAATTTCGCGGATCTCATTGGACCGCGGGCAGGATCCATTTGACGTTGTGGCTTGCTTTACGTGCTCCGAAACGTTGGCAACCCCAAACACGTGTTTACGCGTTCCGCGCGCGTTTGCTCTCGTCTGCACTGAAACAAAAGCGCATGCACTCGTCTCGGCTCTCCATGTGTACAGCTGCGGATTGCCCTCTGTGTCAACTGGCTCGCGCGAGATTTTCACTCGCGACCGGGGAATTGGCTCGACGTTTGAATTGAAGCGTAAAACACGGAACAGACGTGATCAAGTCACGCGCGCGTACTCGTTATGTAACAATCGCGTTTGCGGCCTAGGCACGTGGTGCTGCGTCTCGCGCTTTCCCGTGAAGCAGGCGTCGGGAGCGGGCTTCGACGATGGGGGCAGGTGCGAAATGCGCCTTCCCGTCTTTCATCGTACGCCGGGAAACCCCTGTGAGCGAAGGCAGCTTCGCCGCCACCACCTGGCACGCCGACACGCAGGTGTGAGGAGCGTGAGGAGCGGAGAGAAATATATCGGATGGCTGACGTACCTGTAGCTACGCGGGTCCCCACCTGTTGATGCACCGAAGAAGACGGCCGCGGCTTCGCTCGTTCGCCGTTGCTATGCAGCCACTGCTGTCACGTACTGGAAATGCCAGTGCTCCAGGTCGATCGCGCACGTCCGTCGGAGTTTCTCCGACGGAGGAGAACGACAACGATGATGATGCAACCTGATGAAGCGCGACAAGTACGACGGAATCAGCACACCCACTGTATATTCACACCACGTTATGGCCACGCCGGGGCGCTCTTTTCCAGACGAGGTCACGTGCGAGAGAGGGTGGTTTGTCCTCTCTGCATTTTTTCTTCCTCCTTTTCTCTCCCTTTCTCTCGTGATATCCCGGAAGCTTTCTATCAATGATATCCCGGAACAGGTTCACCACGTCGTCGACGCGACGGTAGGACGATGATAGTCCAGTTAAAGGGCGTCTTCGACGTTCCCTGACGGGCACGATGCCGACACAGACTCCGTCATTCCACCAGCGGATTTTGTGACGAAAGGCACGAGCCGCGATCCACTCGGTGCGAGAGCCACTGCACGACTGTTGCCGAAGTTAGCCGACCGCAGGCCCGAGCGCGTCCGCCGACAACAGCCGAGAAATCGCGAGAGTGACCGAGCTCGGCCGATTCGAGTGGATGGAATGCGCGCGGCGGAAACCAGCCGGCATCGGAATCGGGATCGGGCGCTCGGTGCTCGCCGGTTCGAAGGCAATCCAAGGCAAACGACCGCTCTACCCGTTCTTCGTTCCTCCGCGCCGTAGAGGCCCCTACGACTGCTATAATCTATGTCTATTATCCCTCTTCTCCGCTCCTTCGGTCCACGCGCAAACGCGCGTCTCGCTCGCTCGCTCCTCGACCGCGTTATCCTGGCCGTTCCTCGCGGCGCGCTAAATCCGCGACGATACGAAATCCAGGCTTGATCGGTCGCGTTTTAGGTCGCCTCGTTTCCGCGAATTCAGCAAGCACAAGTTCAACGGGTATTTGATAGACAAGCGCTGGTAATCGTCCTTCTTTTCTTGAGCGTTTTTAAGCTTTCATGACTCGCATGAGACTGACAAAAGAGATGTTTTTTTTCGAAATCATAAGCGTTATCGCGCGCGAAGACCCGATAGCTTCCTGTGATTCATCTTTCTCTCCACTTCAGTACCGCTCACGCGTTCGCATTGTTAGCGCGTGTGGGAGATCTCGTCATCTACCGGTCATGAGTCTGATATGTAACTTTTTATGTTAAGTATCTTATTTTAATTTCCGGTAATGGTAAAAACATTTGTTTGTATCTTCTGAAAATATGTATTATTATTAAAGACTAAATTATTAAACAAATATATTTGGCCATAAAATAATAATTTTGTTCCACTTAATAGTAAATCTATCAACAATGCTTAGGGAAAGGTTGATCCAGTTTGGGGATCACGAGCTGGTCATTTCAAGGCAGAATAAAAATGACTTATTGTTCAAGAAAAGAACTCGAGAAACCAAGTATTCATGTCGAACTTGACAAATATCTTTCTGTTTGGGATAGAGAACGGCATGCGTTATACATTTCGATCAATTTTCGACTTGTTCTGCCTAGCGCTATTGCCCTTACCTCATCGTCCCGCACGCAACCTACGAGCCGCTCGAGACTCAGGAGCGTATGACTTGTAAACATATGTTTCTAACAGTGAAAAGCTATTTGAAGCATATGTTTACAAGCCATACGCTCCTGAGCGGTTCGAAAGTTGCGCGCGGGACGATGAAGTAAAGAGAATAGTGCTAAGCGGAACAAGTCAAAAATAGGTCGAAATGTGCAATGCGTACCAAGCTCTGGTCTGGGACATAATATGCCAAGAATATTATGTTCAGGCGCCTAACGATGAATAATTCTTATTTTGTATTTCTATAATTCATATTTTTTAAATTTGTTACTAAGTCTTTAAAGCTTAGAAAAGAGTTGTTACGTTTTTATTTATTTTTTTCGTAGAGGTATAATCTCTCCTATGTCAATTTTTCGTGAGGTTGTTTCAAAAGATATTTTCAAAAATAAAAACTGATTTGTATGTATATGATTCACTATTTTTTGTTTTGTTTTGTTTTTTTTTTATTAAAATGCATCCTCAAATTTTAACTAGAAACTACAGTTTGTACCCCGAAAACAAACTTTTAATATTTTATTTTTTCATTATGTAAAAATTGGTTTCATAGTATGTGAGTCTTTATACCGAGAGAAATTATTTGATAGAAAATTAGCAAATGAATATTTCCGATCAAATTCCAATCAATTTTTATATTTAATTAGGATATCCAATATAATTTCATCCGATCATAATTTCATCAAATAAATTGAGCAAAAAATTATGAATTAAAATTTCTCATGGCATTTCTCGGATATTTCCTGATCATATTTAAAAATTAATCGATATTTTGATCGGAAATATCCGTTTGTTAATTTTTTATCGAATAATTTCTCTCAGTGTACGGAAATCACGTGAGTTCTAAAAAGTTAATAATTTATTGAGTAATCGATTCTTAAAATTTCATTAGGAGAGACTTTCTAAAGCGTTTCTATTAATCAGAAACTAATTTGTATGAATCAATATATATCTATCGACATTACGAATGGTGACTTAATGTAAAAACTAGTTTTTATTTTTTTTTTACTGGTTAGACGTATGCAAGTTTCACTAGAAAAGTTTGAACATTGGCATACATCGCGCGTATAAGAACAAGATAATACTTTATGAAATTATGTGTTACAATCAATCACATAACGACGTCTAGCGAAAGAGATAAAATACTATCGTGAATGATTTACAACGATCACCAGGCGATAAAATACATTCCGATGTCCCGGGCGTGTAATTAAACCGTCGCCGAAACGTTTCGCAATATTAAAATTAAACGACCATGAGTCATTTTGAGATAGAATCGTGGAGAATAACGGCCGACGGATTTTCGGAGTGAGCGCATGAATTATCGTTTCGAAAACATCGCACGAATATGATCAATTCGATTCGCGCGGCTGAGGAGAAACCTGTCGCTCCTTAACACTCAGTGTTGAGCTTAAATAATTTTACAATTAGCTGGATAAAAAAAGACGCGATGATATTTTCATCTGACCAGTGACATAGTTGTCAGAAGCGCAACCTTACATGTAAGCTGTTCCCAAACACTGAGAGAAATTGTCTGATAAAAAATTAACAAATTTCCGATCGGATATTTCCGATCAAAGTATCGATAAATTTTTGTATCCAATCAGGAAATTTTCGATGAGAAATATCGGTTCATAATTGTTTTATCAGTTTACATGAAGTAACATCATGATTGGAAGTATACAATAAAATTTAATCAGATATAATAATTAATCGAAATTTGATCGGAAATATCCGTTTGTTAATTTTTTATCGGATAATTTCTCTCAATGAATGGTACACAATGTCCGAAAAGGTGCGAAACATGTCTGTCCACACCGGTTTGTCTCCATATGTCCACTAATCCGTGCAAATATATAACAAAGAGTGCGTCTACGACGATAACACACCCATGAACATGCCTCTCTGTGTAGAAATGCCGGAGACACAGAACTCGTTGGCACCTACTGCAACGTAGTAAAGGGCAACTACGGCATATCGCACAGCTATCGGCCCTAAATGAAAAGCAGACCTGTTCCACTGACAGAAGAGATTGTGTGTCAAATGTATACTATGCTTTTCCGAGCACATATCGTCGGAAGCCACTAAAGACTGCCATCTTTTTATCCCGTAAGATTAACCAAAGAGTTAATTGTTATATACCAGGTATGTAAATATGAAACCGGAATTTTTGTATAGAAAATACACGTTTATTGTATGAAAATGATAAAAAATATTTTATTCGAAATATTGCCCATCGCTAGCTATACATTTTTCCCACCTGTCTGACAATTTGTGGATGCCACGCCAAAAAAACTGTTGCTCTTTTGAGGCAAACCAGTCATCGAGCCTTTTTGGTACATTTTCGTAAGAAGTGAAGCGCTGCTTAGCAAGTGCGTGTCCCATCGATGCAAATAAATAGTAATCGGACGGAGCCAAGTCTGGTCAGTAAGCCGAATGCGAAAGTATTTCCCAACTAAACGCCTCAATCGTTTCCTTGACCAGTTTTGCTGTGATGGTGCATTATCATGAAGCAAAATCACTTTGTGTTGCCTTTTTTCATATTCTGGTCGTTTTTCACACAAAGCTTGATTCAAATCGATCATTTGTTGTCGGTAGCGTTCAGTATTAACGGTTTGGCCAGGTTTTAGCAGCTCATAATAGATCACACCTTTCTGATCCCACCAAACACAGAGCATTGTCTTCCGTCCATAGCGATTTAGCCTTGCAGTCGATGTCGATGGTTCGCCTGGAGTTACCCATGATTTTTTACGCTTAGATCTTTTATTCTCATGATTTTTTATGCTTAGATCTTTTATTCTCAAAATATATCCACTTTTCATTGCCAGTCACAATTCGATGGAGAAATGATTTTCTTTTGTACCTGAAGAGCAGCATTTCGCAAGTGATTTTTCGGTTTTCCTGCTGTCTTTCATTCAGTTCATGTGGAACCCATTTTCCCATCTTCTGGATCTTTCCCATGGCTTTCAAACGTATGGAGACGGCTTCTCGTGTCACATTTAATTGATCCGCGAGTTGTTGTTGCGTTTGAGTGTCATCCTCATCCAACAATGCTTGCAATTCGCTGTCTTCGAACTTTTTCGGTGGTCTTCCACGTTCTTCGTTTCTCACGTCAAAATCGCCACTTTTGAATTTTTTAAACCATTCAAAGCACTATGATTTACCAAGAGCATGCTCACCGTAAGCTTCGATAAACATTCGATGCGATTCTGCAGCAGTTTTTTTCAAATGGTAACAGAAAATCAATGCTGTTCGCAAATCGTAGTTTGCAGGCACAAAATTCGACATGTTCAACGCTATTACAAACTACGCTGTTGTATGAAACTTGTATTGTTGTGAGTTGAAAATCTTTGTCAGAGATATCAACAAGGAAATGGCGCTAATGACGCGGTTTGACGGTAACTACATTGACAGCTAGGGCCATCTACGGGCAAATTCCGGTTTCATATTTACAGACCTGATACTTGTAGATTTATCCTATACTTTTCAGACACCCTGTTCGAGGGCAGCTGACATGTGCCGTTGCACTTCTGACACCTATATCTCTATTATTGTGTACATGTTTGAAAATCTCTCTACCTTATACGTCTCTCTGATGAGATAAGATAAAGTTACTTTTGTTTTGAATATATTTAGATAAAAAAGAAAGTTACATAGTGATTGATCTGGATAACTTCCAGATAATGTTACTTTAAGATCACTTATATAAAAACGACAATGAAAAAAAATTATAATTAAAAAGGAATACAAAATATACAGGGTATCTCACACTCTCCTCCGGACATTTTGTGGGGACGTAGAACAGGTTGAGGTGAACATAAAAGTCCTATACCGTTTCGCGATATTCGCAATAATTATCGAGATATTAATTGTAAAAAATTTATGAATACAGGATATGGTAAATGAGTTATAATAGCGACGA